CTCGCTGTTGTCTTGTTGTTGATCTGAATAGCTTCGTCAGTCTCCCCTTGCCTCTTGTTTTTCGATCTTCCCTTCTATTTATCCTTATATTTCAGACATCAAAACATCTTTCCCCTTCGATTCTCTATTGTCGTGAATAAATTTCTCTTTTCTTGACTATTCTTGACCACCTTCTCATTGGTTTTTCTTGACTTATTATGCATTATAATTATTTATACAAAGATCAGACACAGAGAAAAATTCATTCGATCTGGGTGGATTCGAACCAGCGCCTTCACCAAACCGTGGTTGATGCTCTCCCAACTGAGCTATAGAACAAACTACCAGGCCTTTCAAATTTTTGTTGATGCTTGTTGCACTTGATCTTTGTTTTTGGTTTTGAATATCATAGTAGTACTACATCGTGATATTCAATAAGCTTAATATTACTATGCGTTGCAAAACACCAATCATCCTTTTTTCCTCTTTCTATGATGCATCTAAAAAAACTGTCTTGACGTATCAGATACCCAAACATCTTTTCCCATGGAGAAGAATGGAGGGAATTACTTGAAGGGAAAGAAAAACCAATAAGGATCCCTACAATGTTAAATATTATACAGAAATTTAACTCAAGTACCACTTACGTAAATGTACGTATATACTTGTTCAAGAACATCACAATAAATCTTAAAGACGTTACACACGGTTACTTTTAGCAGAGATACAAACGCGACGTAAACGCGATGCAGTCGCTAATCGTCTATCTTTACACCATGGACCAATAACCCAAGAGGACTGCTAATCTCCATATTAAAAATCGTAGCTCTGAAAAAGGTCAAAATTCCGTCTTATTTCTAGATGGCGCTGATCGATAGCCTGGAATTAGTTTATATTTACGTAAATAGCCATGGATATCGATTAACTCCTCTTTTATAGGAAATATAGTAGATATTCTATTTTTCTTGTAATGTTTTTCAAATATTTAGTAATAAACTAAAATTATTCTCTGAACTTCGATATTTATGCGTATCAATAGATGGCATTGTTCGTTGTTAACTAATTAATAACGTAACGCTTACGAATATAGTTAGATGGCGCAAATCCTAAACAAAATAAAAGAATACTTGGAAGTATCTATAAAAATCTGAGCAATATAGTATAACCTAAAGGAAGTCTAAATTGTCATCCGTTTGCGGTGGCGCACAGTGGGCCCAAATTGATAATTCTTGGACATAGGAATAACTTGTGGAGTATCGAGCTAATTTTTATATGTGATAGACAATAACACTCCTAACAACTTTTATTCTTGTATGATTTCTTGAAAAGTTGATAATTTCAGAGAAAAAAAATATAATTTTTTTTGTGGAGAAATATACATTTTGTTCTTTATCTCAAAATATACGAAAATGTAGTGTGCGTGGGTTACTTACAGTATAGTTCCAATCATTTTCTATGTAGAAAAAAATAATCCGTCTGCATGTACTTGCGTCTTTGTAAGTAGAGGTGCGGCAAAATTGCTAACTCTTTTATGTACTTTTTTAACAAAATACATGAGCTTCGACTAAAGAAAATTTAATTTTAGTGCTAAATTACACAGAGCGTTATAACAATAACACGAAAGTTAAGTAGAAACTAGTATATTGTGTTTTATTTTTTAATAAATAACAAATCTAACATTTTGACATCTTTTTACTCGTAAAGCCGCAAGTACCTGCTGATGGATTGTTTTTTCTTGATAGAGAATGATTGGACTTATACTGTAAATAAAGCACACATTACATTTTTCTACAATTCGAGATAAAAAATAAAATGTTTATTTCTCCAAACAAAAAAAAAAACTAAAATTTTTTTTCAGAAACAATCAGCTTTCCAAGAAATTACATAACAATAAAAGTTATCAGGAATATTATTATGTATCATGTGAAAAAAATCAGCTCTGTATTCCTAAAATTGTATCATGATTAAATAATTATTTAGCCTAAAATTTATACTTTTTATTTCCGTTATTTTTAATTACCTTCAGATTAATTTATACTGGGTTGTTGGACTTTATGCACTGTTTGTAATGGATGACATATTACACACAGATTACACGAAGCTCATGTATTTTGTTAAAAAAGTACATAAAAGAGTTAGCAATTTTGCCGCACCTTT